CCACACAACAACCACCACAACCCCCCCGCCCCGCACCCGCCCCCCCCCCCCCCCCCCCCCCCCCACCCATACCCATACCTATACCCGCACCCACACCCACACCCTACGCATGCAAACAAATAAATGCTTAAATGATGTTTTAACGCGTTTGGATCGAAAAATTAAAAAAATGCATTATAAGCATTCCACATGACAAATTAAAAGATTGAACTCGTTAAAAAGTGTTTTTTTCTCATATCGACAAGTTTAAATGCTTTTACTGAAGAAAAAGTGATGATCTGATACATATTATTTCATTTGTATATATCCATTAGAATCAACAAAAGATTCATCATTTAAACTCGGTTTTTTTTCTCGTGACAAGACGTTTTAATCAATCCTGACATACTGGAACGTCACTGACATAGAAGTATTAGAAATCTTGTCAAAGGAGAGGATGGTGGGTGTAGGTTTGGGTCTAGGCTTGGGTGGTCTTCAACACAACACCCACACTCACATCCACACCCGTAGTTGAACCGGTAACCATTGGTACGGTTACCGTGGCTAGACCTGTAACCGTACCTACGGTTATCGGTTTGGACTGGTGAAACGGTGACGGTTATCTGACGAATGATCATCACCGTTGCATCCCTACACACACACCACATCCACACCACGCCCACACCCACACCCACACTCACACCCACACCCTGATTGGCAAAAAGNAATGGTTACCGGTTCAACTACGGGTGTGGATGTGAGTGTGGGTGTTGTGTTGAAGACCACCCAAGCCTAGACCCAAACCTACACCCACACCCTGATTGGCAAAAAGCTTTCGATTATTTAATAAGAGGATTAGAAATGTTCCAACGTATTATTCCATGTGAACATTTTGAAATATCTAAAACACTAATGAAAATTGGGAATCAATTTGAAAAACAATCTTTATTTGATTGTGTTATGTAGTATTATCATCAGGGCTATAATATGGCCAAAAAAGTGATGCCAATAGAACACCCTCGTATAATAACATATTTTGAAAGGATTATGAGACTATACAAGAAAATGAACAGTATCGATGCAGCTATACAATTTTCTAACGAAAATCTTGTTCTTCAATGTGAATTATTGGGTGGAATTCATCGAAATATTGCTCAAATACATTTGGCAGCTGCAGATGTAATTAACGATAATGAACAAAAACTATCCAAATATAATCAAGCCCTAGATATACTGGAAAATTGTTTTCCAATTGATGAAGAAGCAATAGCTGTTTGTCGAAGTAAAATTGGCGACCAAATGCTTGTCTAAATAATGTCTTCTACACTTTAATCACAATTGCATTCTATAGAAACTAAGTGTTGAAAACGTGTTTAAGAGAGATATGTGAAATAAGACTGAGGTTTCCATCATAATATACAGTGTTGACCAAAAGTCTCGACCATCCCTCCTCTCAAAGTCTATTGATATTTTAGACTTTTTCAGCTGATGTTTTAGGTGCGTACGTACTATAACAAACGATGATTGCAGACGTCACTCCGACATCAATCCACTATACTCCAGTGCAGTCATGAACGGAATATTCGCGTACTTTCGAACACCCATATCTCGACTATATAGACACTTTTGATTCCGCGAAACCTATCATTCGAAAGCTTAGTGTCTCAAAGCTTTTTTTAGTAAAAGTTTCATAAAAAAACACTTTCTACTTGCTGAGATACGGCATTCCTCATGAGTCCCCATCGGATATGATTTATGATAATTTCTATTCGGTTACCTACTACAATAGGTTTTCTGTAATCAATTCACTTGACAACGTTTCCTGGATATCCGCAAAGGCTCTCGAGTGTTTTCTGAAAGTTTCAGAATGGATGTGGGTGCTGGTGTGGGTATCGATGAAGAAAAGATTTGCAGGCACACCCAGACTCACACCCACACCCTTCTTATCATTCGATTATTTCTATCTTAGCATGTAACGTAGTTGGGGATTTTCAATGCAGAGATAGAACAGTGTTGCTGATATGTGATGAATATCTTTTTCCATGCCTTTGAGTATTGAGTCAAAAAAAATCGCCATTAGCTTTTTTTTAGGAATTGTGTTGTCTCAGAATCAGATTCATCGATATGTTCTCGGCAAAGAATAAACACTATAGACATGAACGGAAACTGAGAGTGAATGGGTGAGGGTGGAGAGCTATCTTGAGAGTGAATGGGCAGCGAGGGTAGGTAGGTGGAGGAGGGTGGAGGAGGGTAAGTGTAGTTGAATTTCGCTTCTTCACCCTCACCCACCCACTCTCATTCTTGATCTTTTGTTTGAGAAAGCATGGTGCTGTTAATTGTGAAATTTATCTTTTCAATGCTTTTACTCGTTTTTATCAGTGCTCTTAATTCAAAAGTATGGTTGTTTATTCTACCACAAATTTCATTGATTGTACATGGTATTTCAGCGGAATTTGCACTTTAATCACTATTTGGTATTGAAAATGGAGGAATATCGAACGTGAAAGTTGAACAGAATCATTGCATACCTTATCAGCTATTCAGATATTCAATTATTTGTAACGTTTCGAATATCTAATCCTACAAAACCATAAATGATCTATTTCACCTATTAGCATCAACTTCTGATGTTATGAATAGTACTACATCCTCAGCGGGATATTTGAATAGTTGCACACTTAAAATTCAATTTTTCTTTATCATGCATGCGATCAATTGAAATTTTTTTTTTCTTTTTTTTCTTTTAAATAAGCATTCAAAGGTTTACGAATGTTCATGATTAGCGAACAATCTTTAGTGTTCTCTCTTATTGCCCACCCTCAATACCTATGTTACCATTACCAAAAGGACGATTGAAATTTGGCCAGATGATCACACAGCATCGGAGAATATTCAGTTGACAATAAGTATCGGCTGGACAACCTTCACCGTTCGATTGACAACGCATATGCGAGATTGGCTGACGTCCATTACTGCATGTTTCGGTAGCCGGTAGACTGTTAATCGACGTTAGTAGAAGGAGAAGTAGAATCATGTGTAGAAAAGACATGTTTCTTTTGAAACTAAATAATAATATAATAGAGTTTTTTCTGTTTCTACGACATTAAAAATATATTTGTCTTTCTTAAGCTAACACGATAATTTAGTTCTTACTTGCTACCAACTTGTTTTGCGTTCTAGGCTTTTCAAATAGTCGTGCTTGTTGTTTAAAGAAAAATGAAGCCCAGTTGGAGAGAGCAGGTTATGGCGAATATAATTTTAGAATAGTGATCAAACTTAACTATGATTCTATTCTTTAGTATGCCATGCAGCTCTTTGCTTCGTTGGCTGAGAAAAAAAAACATATGACACTATATAGAATAGAGCGAGAGCAGCATCCAATGAAAATGAATATAATGGCCGAAGTAGGCAAATTGATGTGCGATGAAAGCCTATAGATGAATGATATTCAAACGGCATGTATTTTTTTCTGCTCTTACGAACAGATTGACTCAGCTTGCCTACGTCATAATTCAATATTTCGCAATTGAAGTAAAGCGGTTGCGCCAACCAACAGTACAATGACAAAGCTCGTGCTTGATTCAAAGCATTTTCTATCCTGTTTTATTCGTTTTACATTTCTGAAAAGATGAAAAAATATTGCCGTTTAGTGGTTTGTCTTGTGAAGTGTGCTCGCAAATCTGAAATGGCACATCGGGCAACTTTGTAAGATAAAACCACGGAAAAATGCCGTGTTTTTACACGAAGCACTAGGAAAACTGCTACAACTGGTAATAACGCCGAATTAATTTTGAAATTTTTACTAGAAATCTCGGTCTTGACAAGAGAATCACGCGCCCATGCTGATTCAAACGTCAATATTGCGAGAAACTTGAGTGCAAGGTAGTTTATAAAATGAGAATGTCCACTTTACTCCTGATCTCTTTCAATTATAAATCATTCCACCTTCTCCGACATACACATGTTTCCCATCAACACGGGAAACACTCCTAAACATTGTTGTTCTGAGTGAAAGACATAGCATTTACATATCTACTACGAAGAGCGAAGGAATGAGATATGCTTCATACAGACATGTGTAGAGAATATTTCATGTAATTACTCAAGTAATATGTACGGATGAAATTATTGTTGCGATGAGTGTCAATAGGAACGAACAAAATTTGTATCTAAAAAGTAATACTTTTTATTGCAATTGTTGAGATTAATCTAATGACCAGAGCAGATGATATTTTTCCCACGAAATACTTTGTTGTACCTTGCTCTCTTGTTTCATTATCAGCAATAAAAAATACATCTAAATATATAACGGTATGTCCTTTAGAAAGTCATCATTTGTCAACTTTGGAATAACTTGATATACTATGGAATCCATTTGTGGACTTTTTGTTCTTCTCACACTTTCAGTACTATCGGTGGTAGATGAAAACTATCTTGAGGGTGTGAGTGGGTGGGTATGGGTGAAGAGAAGGGGATCACCCTCACTCATTCGCACTCTCATCCTCACTGAGATGGTCCTTGGTCCTGTCGTAGACGCTCTCTTTACAATGAGGAGGCGATTTTTATATCGAAAAAGAATCATGGAGAACGCTTAATTACGGCTGTTCTTCATCTGAGAGGTGTAGAAACATAGAAAGAGGGTGTGGGTATGGGTGTGCATCGGCTTTTTCTATTTACTAACGCCTACAACCGCACCTACACCCACACCCACACCCCACACCCCACACCCCACACCCCACACCCACCCACATCCACACACCCACGCCCATCCACACCCATACCCACAATCACATCTACACCCACACCCCATCATGAGAAAATAATCACAAATACATATGATTTTTACAAAAGTTTAAGACATGTTCGACAACTCCTTCAATCCAAATATGTTCGACTAACTTTTCGAAGACATATGGAACTGACGGGATTTCGACAGCTGAATCCTATAGGATCCGTCCTTCGGATTTCATCAGATTGAGACATCGGACAGATTCTTATGGTGCACTTTTGATCTGGGTAGCGCCAACCAATGTATGATTTTAGTGTCATGCATAAAGTTTATAACGCATATTTCATAGTATGAGTAGTGGCGATTAAATAACATTGCTATCGAAAGATGTTTCTTTCAATATCTGATCCACTTACAAAAGCATCTCTGTGATAATGATCTACTCTGCCTTTAATGCAGTGTGATACAGACAGAAACAAAGGGGACATGCTTCTCTTTTAGTTGTAAAACGTATTTACTATTTGTCCTAATAAGAGAAAAAAAATTAATAAATAGGCCAAACTGACAGCTATAAATTATTCTCAAGGTAAAAGTTAAATTTTTAATGTTATTGTTGTCACTTTCAATTTCGGAAAGTAGTGAAATAATCGTGATATTTGTTTGGAAAAGATCTGATTCAATTGTGTGCAGTGTATTTAATAGCTAACACATGTAAATCGCAAATAAATCTAATCTATTAGGAATTCGTTAATAAAAATGTTTAAAAATTTTTTATCGACGATTTGTATTTTCTTTCCATTTTTCATCAGTTAAATATTCATCGCAAATTAATTGATTTTTTTCGAGATAAATCATAACTCAATTGATTTATTTCTGTTTTTTTTGTTGAATTGGTTTCGATAGTATATATTATTGAATTAATGAAAGAATTCTGTAATATTTGCATTTGATGTTTACATGAAAATATATTGAATGGACTATGAGCGTATTAGTCTTTTATCAGCACCCACACCCATATTGGTTTCAATTGCAATAAAAACTGGTGTTCTTTTTTTTTTCTTTATTCAAAAGATCTCTATCTGTTGTACAGGAGAGTCTGAGAACAGCAGAATTTTGTCAATAACATCGCTCGAGATTTTGATGAAACTTGTCTGAAATTGCATCATCGTATTTTATTTGAAAAAAAAATATGTATCCGAATTTTTCAAGGTTATTAGGAAACAAAGAGAAAACGTGTGTTTTGAATATTGTCTTTAAGAAAACTTTAAGCAATGTAAAACTTCATGTAACGGCTAATTGTCTGCCATATATATATATTATTGAAGGGACTTTTTTAATATGTTTCTGTGGCCATCCACTCGATACACAACAAAATTGGCAGAAACATTAACATTCCAAAAAGTAGAACCAGAAAATAATACCTCAATACTACAAAACAAAACACTATACCATCTGAGGAAGGTAGAATAGGAACAGTACAAAAGGATCGATTACAGTTCCCGACGATGGATGGTGTCATTTTAGTGCCTTTATTGTGATGTGAAGCAATAATAACTATGAATATCATAGCACCGGCTAAACA